GATCCTCCACTGGTCTCACCCCTGTCTGGACAAGGGAGAATGAAGAAAACCAAAGACACAAGGGAAAGATTAGTCCAAAGGACTAATGGACCACATCTACCACAGCCTCCCCTAGACTGAGTCCAGCACAACTAGATGGTGCCTGGCTACCACCGACTGCTCTGACAGGGATCACAATAGAGGGTCCTGGACAGAGCTGGAGAAAAATGTAGAACAAAATTCTAAGTCACAAAAAAAGACCAGACTTAGTGGCCTGACAGAGACTGGAGACACCCCGAGAGTATGGCCGCTGGACACCCTTTTAACTCAGTAATGAAGTCACTCCCAAGGTTCACCCTTCAGCCAAAGATTAGACAGGCCCATTAAACGAAACGACAGCAATGGGGCACACCAGGCCAGGGGCAAGGACCAGAAGGCAGGAGGGGACAGGAAAGCTGGTAACAGGGAACCCAAGATTGAGAAGGGAGAGTGTTGACATGTCGTGGGATTGTTAACCAATGTCGTAAAACAGTATGTCTAATAACTGTTTAATGAGAAGCTGGTTTGTTCTGTAAACCTTCACCTAAAGTACTATTAAAAAAAAAAAAAAAAGACCCCAATAATAGCCACGGTTATCCTTCACTTACATTCCAATATGCTTTCCAAGAGGAAAAGGAAGGGGAGAGTGGGGGCAGAGGCCCCAGATTATGACATAGAACTCTTACATGCCCAGAGGGCTGGGTTACCAATGTATGTAAACATCTTCCATCATCTATGGCACAGGGTGAGGGGGGATAAGAAAGTTTGAGAACCGTTGCTGTAAAATAAACTGCCAGTTAAAATAACTACAGCACGTTTGTTCAGTGAAATGCTATGCAGCCTTTATATACAGATACAAAACATATCTAAGTCAAATTGTTAAGTGATGAAGGCAAGTTTCAGGAAAATACGTAGACTATTATATCATTTATAACTGAAAATACCCCATAGAATTATACTCCGTATTTCTACAGACACTAAAAAACGTACACAACAACAAAAAATTTGCTGTTGAGTCGATTCCAACTCATGACTGTGCTCCACAGGGTTTTCAAGGCTGTGAGCTTTCAGAAGCAGATTGCCAGGCCATTCTTCCAAGGCACCTCTAGGTAGGTTCGAACCACCAACCTTTCGGTTAATAGGGAAGCACTTAACCATCTGCAGCACGCAGGGATTCCTTCGATAGACACTTATATATGTAATTATAAAACAAATATCTGGAGCATAAACGCCAAACTGGTAACAGTGGGGACCTCTGAGACGGGATGATGGCCAAGGGGAAATTTAATTTTATCTGTAATGTTTGATATTTTTACAATGATTACATACTCACGTGTTGACTCGTAGTCAAAAATGCATAGTTACTTTTAAAATATAGTAAATGTCAGCCCAGTCCTCTCTTACAACCTCTAGGGTTAGGTTTGACTTGGCCAAGGACCCAGGGCCAGCTAGCAGTGATTGGAACAAAACACTGACACATTTAATACATTTATTGCCAAGATGTTTTCAAGAAGGTAATTGACACCCTAGTCTGTGCAAAGACGAGTTGGCAAAGATGACAAAATTAATAACATCCATTACTGTTTATTTTTATTGTGGTAAAATACATACACATTTTGCCATTTCAACTATTTTTAAATGTACAATTCAGTAACATTGAGTCCATCCACAATGTTGTGCAACCATCACTACCATCTATTTCCAAAACTTTCTCATCACCCCAAACAGAAACTCAGTACCCCTTAAGCAATAATTCCCCATTCTCCCCTCTGCCCAGCCCCTGGGCTGCTACTGGTTTTAATTAATATTTATTTGATTACCAGTGAGAATGAGCATCCTTTCCCATCTTCTTGACTTGGAAGAGAGAGGTGCCAGTTTTTCTATCCCCTGCCTCCCCAGGCTGGGAAACGCCCCCCTTGCGCAGCCTACTAGCCGCGTAATTAACACCTGCCCCCCATGGAACCAAGAAACAACTAGGCATCTAGTGAGCTTCCCCTCTGCAGGAACCTACGCTTTTTCCTATGCCCACTGGAGTCATTGCTATTTGCCTTACAATAGAAAGATGCCACCAGGAACATTGGCCTGTCAAAGCCACTCCTTCTGGGGAGCATTGGTCTGAGTTAATGATACCATATATTAACAGAAGTGAAACCGCCGCTGTGCTGTGAGCAAGGATCCCGGGGAGAGGTGGGCAGAAGCCCTGCAGGAGCCCTCGGGGCGCCACATGCCTGCTGTCCTGCACATGGCTCCTGGCATCTCCTTGCCAGGCCCCACTGTGCATCATCCAGACCCATGTCATTAACTCATTACCTTTCATCCGTGCAAGCCAGCCTGTTGCCAGCACCCACCATCAACCTGCACCCTCACCCCTGTGACCATCTCGAGGAGGCTGTAGCAGAAAGGGCTTCACAGTAAGAATAAAGTTGTTATTGTTAGTTGCCATAGAGTCGATTACGACTCATGGAGACCACGTATGTGCAGAATAGAACTGCTTCGTAGGGTTTTCAAGGCTGTGACCTTTCAGAAGCAA